CTACCATTTTCTTACTGTTGTTCTGGACATGTGCTACACAAGTGCTCAACATTGATCAACAAAAACAAAAACAATTCTAGACCTACCTCTTCAGATATTGTTTTTATTACAATGGGAAAATTAAAAGTCGGGGAAGCTCACCCCCCCCCCCTTTCCCCTATCTAGGGATAAATTTTTTCCCGGGGGAGAACCCCGGACCCCCTTTCGCTTTGAGGTTTATCGATTCATGGAAAAAGAATACATGCAACTACTATTGTTATTTTTTTATGACCCTTTAGATTTAATGAGTTTTAATCATGATGTATTGTTGCAATAAATTTCCATGCTTTATTTCAGAGGTTAGTCAAGATAGTGAGGGACTATGGAACTACTAGCATGCCTGCAAATTAAAAAGCAAATAGCATATGCTACGCGCTCGCAACTTGCCTATGTGTATGTGTATGTATGTATTTGTCTTGTGTAGGCCTATTTGTAATTATGTGTGTATTTGTCATTACGCACAATTTAATGTTCTTAATCTTGTGTATTGGTATGTGTATTTATGTGTTTATTTGTATAGTGTACCGTATGTATATACGCACAATTTAATGTTATTAATCTTGTGTATTGGTATGTGTATTTATGTATGTAGTTGTATATTTGTATGTATTATGTATATACACTTGCCGTATTAAATCAAATTCAAATTCAAATAATTTTATTTGATGGTATTATTCGTATTAATCTAATGATTCTCTATTTCTATATTGAGTCCTGAGTGATTACAATTATCTGAATGCCCAGTAATACCAATGGACGAGAGGATGGATGGACACTGCATGTGATGATATGATGTGGAATGACTAGACTAAAAAGGATACATTGATAGTGACGTCAGCAGTGCGCATTTTTCAGATATGATACGTGTATGTAAACAAATTTGCAATAATGCGATTTAAATATATGTAGCTGAATGTGATGACATAGATGTTGAAAATTGTTTAGGATTGACTCAAAATGTCGCACAAAGAAATTTTTTTACGATTGACTCAAAAAGTCGCACTTTATTTACAATGGACGTCAATGTTCAATATTGTAAACTGGTGTAAATGTTTATTGAAAGATATTTCTTGCCAGTCATGACTATGCTTAACGTTCTGTGCTTTTCCAATTCTTGGAATTATTATAACATTCAATGATTCTCTATTTCTATATTGAGTCCTGAGTGATTACAATTATCTGAATGCCCAGTAATACCAATGGACGAGAGGATGGATGGACACTGCATGTGATGATATGATGTGGAATGACTAGACTAAAAAGGATACATTGATAGTGACGTCAGCAGTGCGCATTTTTCAGATATGATACGTGTATGTAAACAAATTTGCAATAATGCGATTTAAATATATGTAGCTGAATGTGATGACATAGATGTTGAAAATTGTTTAGGATTGACTCAAAATGTCGCACAAAGAAATTTTTTTACGATTGACTCAAAAAGTCGCACAAAATACAGGATATATGTGATTCCAAGAGATATAACAATAAACAAACTTAATGAACACAAATTATGTAAAAATAGATTAGGAGTGAAGAGTTCAAATTTATCTTGACATGTTTATCAATATTACATGCAATGGCTTAAAACAAAAACAAAAGTGATGCTAATAAATATATTTTCTTTTTTCAGTGCAAGAACGAAGAGGTGTCTATCCAAGAAAGTGAAAATAATATTCAAGCATTGATGCAAACGCATGCATTAATGTACAATTATAAATCATTTGCCTATTAATACACTTACTTCTCAATCGCAATAACGTTAACAAGATATGAAATATAATCTCTATAAAGTTTAGAAATGTTTTAAATAACTGTAAAATTTCAACAAAATTATGATTTACAGTAACAGTATGAAAAATAGTATTTAGTCATTACACTTAATTAATATACAACAAAGAATCTTGCAAGAATTTTAAAATATTTTCAAATTATAAATTTATCTGATAACTGCACGATATTCAACAAACTTTTTGTCAATAAAGTGTATGATAATATAGGATAAAAATTAATTAAAATGCATAACAATATTATTTACATATCAGTATTAACAACCTATATTAAGGCATGATTGTTATAAATATTCTGACAATTTACATTGAGCTAATGTTTGTTTCTGACTTTGTAAGTTTTAATGTGCTCTTACTATACCTCACCCGTTGTGTTCAACAAATTGTTTAAATGCATAAGATGTATTTTCTTTTTCGAAATCAATATTTCAATTTTGCCTTGTTTATTCAAAAAATAAATATTTAAATAATGACTAATTTAAACAAAATCTATTTTAATTCAGCCTAATTACAAATTTTAAAATACTTATATTAGCTATGTGTTAATTTGTTAATTAAATTTACGTATTTTCATTAAATTTCTTAATTTAATACAAAATAAATAGGTTTTTATGTTGCTTTTTTATTTCCAAAATCAATCTGCTTCAACGTCTTATCTTGTATTGTTCCCTATACAATGACTATTTTACCTTTGCAGTTCAGTCTGCTTAATCCATTGCCTGAAAGTATTCCACTGTTGCTTTTCAGTCATATTATACCTGTGCTACTACTACTCTGTTTTAATTCTGAAAGGTATCTTCCTCTTTATTTCAAATACCCTTAGTGGTGGCAGGTGTCCAATTAGTGTAGGTGGGTAGAGTAAGTATTTAAGTACATCAGTCTAGCTTAGAAGGGTAGATTAAGTATTTAAGTACATACAGTAGCTAGGTTATCTAAGCGTAGTATTAGGGACAGAGGAATAGTACCTTAGCTCCTGCTTTGTATTCTTTTATAACTATTGCTTATTTTCTTTTCACAAAACCTGTATCAAGCTTACTTACTGTACTTACTTATCCTCTACTGACCCAGTGGCCCATAAGGCTGTAATGCTCTCTCTCCAGCGTCCCATGTCTTTGGCCACAGTTTTAGCTTCGCTCCCGGATGTCCACCCCAGTATATCCCCCCTCTTTTCCCACTGTTCGGCGCCATGTTGTTTTTGGTCGCCCCAATTTTATTCTTCCTTCGGGTGCCCATGAAAGTGCAGTGATGCAATGGCTCTCCTCTTTCATTCCCAGCACGTATCAAGTTTGCTTCATCACAACTTCTTTCTTCTTCAATATTTCCTACTACATAGTTTCGTATTTGTTTATTTAAACTTTATTAAAATTAATAATGCTATAATAACGTTAAGAATAATAATTTAATAAAAGTTAATAAATATCAATAAATTGTATTGATAATTAATAATAATGTATTTAATAAAAACAAATATTAATCAATATAAATAATTTTCATCCCTTTTAAAATTATATTTTTTGGCTTACTATATGGCAATCGTAATATAATATTATAATATTAAAAGATTATACCAAAATGATTATAATGAGTGACAATAATAAATATTTTTGTTATATTTAAATAGTTTGCACCCTACACAATTTTGAGTAAATCGGTTCTATAACGGTTGAGGTATAAACAGAGGCTGTTTATCTGTATATAATATGTGTATGTGTATATGTGTATTATAGGCCTACAAATGAGTTTAACTGTATAAACACATGTAGTTAAGCTCATGGGGGCAGTGATAAGGGTGAGAATGCAGATCTTGCCTGGGAGCTAATCTCCTGTCACTGTCGTGGGTTTCCTCCGAGTCCTTCGGTTTCCCCCCACACAAATTTTGTATTTGTTTTTTTAACATTCGATTTTATCAATTATTTCGTTCTGGATATTATTTGGAAGGTGTGAAAATAAAATAAAAAGTGTTATCATTAATAATGGTTGGGTGTCTGAAAGTTTCAAAATTTCGATAGTTATCAGACAAGGATGCCCTCTATCGGCATTACTTTTCATTGTTGTAGTAGAAATGGCCTCAGATATAGATGTGATGACTGATGGGTATTAGCTTGCCGAACAAAATATTTACTAGTAACGCACGAGAGGAAAGAATAGCACAGCTTGCTGACGATAGAATATTATTTATTGCAGATGAACAAAGTATATCCAAACTAATTAATGCCAGTATTGGAAACATACCAGAAGATGTCATATGCCGGAGGCATCAATAGCCTAATTTTTAATTTCTTCTGGAATTGTAAATCTGAAAAAAGTGAAAAGAAGTACATTAATAGCAGATTATTATGAAAGTGGCCTAAAAATGCCTGACATCAGTTCACAATGTAAAGCATTACAAATAAATTGGATGAAAAGACTAATGAACGAGGGTGACGCTTTGTGGAAAATTATACCTAAATACCACTTTTCTTTAAATATAAATATAAAAAGGTTGCAATTGTGTATATTTCTTTTAGCATAGCCTATTTGTTCTTTTACCTACAATTAGCTTATAAAAAGTGAAAACTTCACTATGGTTAAGCAAGATGTAATTTTGTTCAAAGATAACCAGAAAAAGCTTAATCTCTTACAATTAAACGTATGTTTCTCCTTTTCGAAAACTTAATTGCAGTTAACTATCTTTCATATCTCTGTGTTGTAGGTAAAATACCATGCAGCAATTTAAAGTTAAATTGAGCTAACCTATAATTTTAAATTTCTTTACTTTTTGTATCCAGACATTATTCTAATCAATATTTTTTGTATGATGTTTTCCCCACATCTTAATAGACGACGGTATAGTATCACCTAGATTTTATAATATCGGTGTAGACATACTTGGTTTTTATTTTTTCATATTAATTTTCATTCGATATTTTAGGCTTATTAACGATATGTCTTATGTTTACTATTATTATATTAAACCAATGACCATGGTATAGCTTTTTAATTGAGTATACTCCGAAATCCAATTTTGCTTATTTTGAAGCTTATTTAATAAGATATTTGGGACAATCAAACTATTGTTTTGAATAATATCTTTCACCTATATTAAACCCGATTTTACCTAATTGGAAGAAAGCCCTCTGCGTTTGTTGTAGTTTTGTGGCTGTAGAGAGCGCTCGTTCAGTTGTCTGAATGCAAAGAAATAACAAAAGCAAGGAAGAGAGGTGCCTAGCCTACAAAATTTCAATATGTTGCAGTAAATGAAACTGTATTTTACAGTATTTTTGCTTGTTTGTGTGAAAATTTATCATTTGGTTGGTATTTAATGTTATGTCGTCCACAAGTAACGGAGTCGTGCGTAGTGGCTCCATCGGAGGAGAATTTTATGATTTTTCATGCAAGGTGAGTCACCGCTTTCTTCAGGCTGACCCTGGATGGATGTGGTGTGTATGGCCACAGTAGCTCCTCCTACTTAACTATTGTAGTAAACTGCCTAGGCCTAGGGCCTAGGCTCCAGTACAAGGATTCAAGTATGATGAAAGTGTTACTCTGTACTGCATTCTTACATAACTACAAGTCGTCCAAGCATTTGAATCTGAAGAATTTGCTTCTGATTAAGAATTTATCGAATATAGGGGCTAGGCCTAGACAGGTCTATTTTTGTGTCAATTTAAATTACCGTAAAAACCTAGGCTACTGGACGGTTTCCTAAATTCCATCTGAGAATTAGAGCTTACTGTGAATCTCAGCACTATTTACCATAAATGCTTGAATAATTTTTGGAGGCTTCAGTGCAGCGGTTATTCAAGAGCGGCAGTTATTCGAGAGCGGCGCTTATAAAAAATATATTGGCTTGGCATTTTCCATTCTCTTTCCCATGTTACCTACCTCACGTATTCCCATACTTCAGTAGGCCACGATATCGTAAATAAACATTTAATAAAGAAATTTTTGTGCCTTCATTGAGTTATTTCTTCATTTTAACACTGAATCATATGCCTTGTATTTAAATTCCTGTTTTTCAAATTGTTTCATTTACACACAGGGTAATACATATACTCTCAATTAAGTTCTGCGGCGCTTATTCGAGAGCAGTGCTTAGCAACAAAAATTAGGTTTTGTGCGACGCTTATTCGAGAGCAGCGGTTATTTGAGAGCGGCGTTTCTTCGAGCATTTACTGTAACTGATATTTGTCTTATATTTTGTAATCATGTTTTTTCCTCACTTGATTGTCTTATGTTCACTTCAAAGTCAAATGTCATTTCAGTTTAAGGCATGTAGCCTAGCTGTAGCTTCCTGGCGATTTTCTGCGCAAATTTGGGCCAATTTTTTAGGTATCATCTGCACAATTAAAAAACTTTACAGGTATGGTCTATGAACAGTACTTAAAACATGAAAGATTAACTCTGCTGAATTTGCATTAGGAGCAGCTAATTTATGAATTAAATCAGTTAAATTGAATATAATTGAGCTATTTGTTATCCTCCACTGATTAATCAAGTATTAATTAGGTTATGTAGTCAATTATACAGTGAAATGATCTGGAGCTTGGGATGTATAAAATTTGTGAGGGTAATTAATTTTTTCCAATATACAGTAAGTTACTAAACCTTTCCATCACTGTTTTGGACAGTAACATTTAGTTATATTTTAGACAGTGATACTGTAAAACCCATTCAACCAAAAGGCTGTTAAACTCTAAAGCCATGTACAAATGCTCAATCAAGGAAACTAATTAAGAAATTTAATGCATAATGCAAATTGCTTTGAGTGGGTGTTTTTATGGCTTTACGTGTCGTCGCATTACCAGCTGTAGCCTAGTGTTATGCCTGCTCACACACGCATACACAATGGATCATAACACAAGCCCCTCCCCCGAAAATTGTTGCTAGTCTGTAGTTGAGTTCATGAAAATAGGTCAACTCGGCCACAAGTCAACTCGGCCACATTTAACTCGACCACAAGCCAACTTGGCTACAGTAAATGAATTCACAAACCAACTCGGCCACAAGCCGACTAGGCCACAGTCAACTCGACCACAAGTTATCTCGGCCACAGTAAATGCAGTCACAAGCCAACTCGGCCACAAGCCAACTCGGCCACAAGCCAACTCGGCCACAAGCCAACCCGGCCACAAGCCAACCCGGCCACAAGCCAACCCGGCCACAAGCCAACCCGGCCACAAGCCAACCCGGCCACAAGCCAACTCCGCCACAAGCCAACTCCGCCACAAGCCTGTGCTTTTATATTTTAAAAAATTAAATACCTAATTTATAATGAAAATATTAATAATAATGATAAAATAGAAGAGTGCATTGGTGGATCACATGAGCAAAAAAAAATTATGAAAATGCAAATCAGAAATAAAAATCAAATGAATAGTAATTAAAAGAAAAAAAATATTTGTAACATATTTATCAATACAAAGAAAAGAACTAATTTAATTTGGATCAAAGCAAGAAAAAAGTGAAAATAAAAATATTACATCCATCCTTTGATAGTATCATTAGTGTTGGTAACCAACACGCTGTAATCTACAGTAGTTGAAAACACATTAAGCATTGCATAATTCCATTAATATAGATTGTTGTAGCTATGATCTAGTCTGTTTAAACCCAGTGGAATTATAGCACACAGGCTTGGCTGTGGTGGTGTGGGCCTGCTGTAGCGTGCATTATTAGTTTATGTTTGCTTAGTGTCAGCTTTCGTTGAGCAATTTGAATCCTAGAATCTGGACAGACAGTGATGCTAAAATGCCATTTCACTGGAGAATTCATTGATACCTACAGTATATTGGGGGGGGGGGGAAGAGATACTAATATGGGGAAGCTGATAATGCGGGGATGGGGAACCCTCTGTGGGGGGAAATGTGATGATTAGAGGTGATTGCAAGGAACTGCAAACTTTCTCTGGGAGCTTTTTCAAGATTCAAGATTACTTTTTGTCATATGTTCACAAGTTCATAAAACACATTAAATTCATTTTCCAAAAACAGCATGATAAAAATATAAAAACAGTGTACAAAACAAAGGTTATAATTGTTTGAACAAATTCATTTCCTCAATAATTCCTTCTAAGATTATGATATAAATGAATGCTATTAATAAGGCCAAGTAAAAAAAATGATTAGTTTCTTGTCCCCTCGCGCAACCATTTTCTCTGCCACATTAATTTTTTTTTTACCTATATTTTACAAAATGTACAAAAATCTTGCTAACTCGCATCAGAAAAATTCCTCTCTCGGTTGTGGTTGGGGAACATGTTGTATGAATCATGTCTAGTGCTTCTTTTATTTGCCTCCACTGTGTCTACTTGGTAAAAGGAATAAAGTGCAGTAGTAGCTCTGTATTCCATCGACCATCTTGGATTTTCCATCTCATAGTAAAAAAAATAGTGCCCTCATTCTTCGTTTTTCAAAATATTAGGACGAGAATCTACTCTTTTTTTTTTAACTTGGCCTAAAATACAAAAATCCACAAACAATTTCTCATTAAAAGTATAAAATATGTTATCAAATAAAACACATTGAAAACAATTCTTTCTTTGCTGGTGATGCAGAATTTTTAGTAGAAAAATCAATTTAATAGATTATAATAATAATAATAATAATAATAATAATGATAATAATAATAATTCTGGATTTTATATAGCGCCTCACGTTGACACAACCTCGAGGCGCTTAACAACAACAGAGAAAAAAAAAAAAAAAAACAACAAATGCAAATTTACTAAAAAATTATTATCAAAAATTTGGGTTTTAGTTTAGTTTAATTAAGTTCAAATGATTGGTGAGATCATTATCAAAAATATTATTATAACAGTAATATTATTACCATGCAATTATGAGGATTAACCGTGGGTGAATGCACAGAATAGGATTATTTATAATTTATGCGTCTGTAAATATAATAGACCTTTCCGGAGTGTCAATCAAACTTATCAACTGACTAATCAGAACAACGCTGGGATTACGCGCGCGTCTCACAAACACACGTGTTGTCCGACAAACGCACGTGTTTGCGAATGTTTTAACATTGTCGTCTTGTGGGACCTTAGCAACAATATCCAATGGGCGGGGCTTAGCGGAAAGGTCCATTATATTTTTGTTCTATTTTTTATTTGAAATTTATCATTGTTTAGTAGCTTTAAAGTTTAATCTACCTACCTTTGTACAGGTAATATATAATGAGAATGGAATGTATAAATATTATGTAAATTTTCTTTGTCAATACTGTGATGAAGCACATTTCCATAAATGCCCTTTTAAAATGTTAATGTGAATAACACCTGCTTGGAACAGAATTAAATGTGGCTGAGACTAACAATTATGTCTATTATTAATAATCTTTTTATGATAATGTGGTTTTAATACTAGAATTTTATTTCGCATAATATTTACAATTTTAATTTTGTGTATTTTATATGTTTTATATGTCCAAAATGATTGAAAGTTGCTGGATTCTAGTACTGTACCCTGATAACACCTGTATTTACTCTATGACCATTTTAAATAAATGAACAAATAACATAAAAAACATTAATACGTGATATATGAAACTTGATATGATAGTAGGCGTACAGGGATAATAGGTATCTCAACTACTACATATAAATGTTATGTAATTTAATAATCCTTACTTTCAATTTTAACTTATCCAAAACCTTCGATACGGAGAGATAAAATATAACAAACATTCAAAAAGGAATCGACACTTCATACTGTTTGCAAATACATAAACACATCAAAGTACAAATGGAAACCAAACAGATCAAATAGGAAATAATAAGATGAGATATTACACTGTGTTATTACTAACAAGTTGCTTAGCCTGTTAGAATGTACTGCATAGATTTAATAAATGATTGATTGATTGATTGACAGGTGATGCTGATAGGAGATTCAGGTGTTGGTAAGACGTGTCTTCTGGTTCGCTTCAAGGATGGTGCCTTCCTCGCTGGAAGCTTTATCTCTACAGTTGGGATTGATTTTAGGGTGAGTCAATTTCAAAATTATTTGATTCTGTGTTTATTTATCAACATCATTATAATGAAGTAATCATAGGCTGTTCACTTACTGATATAATATTTCCTCATAGTACGTTGAGCGAAGCGTTTATTCACGCTCTGTAAGACTGCCTGACCCTAGGGGGCAGTCTTGAGCAAATCATTCAAATGGTCTGTCACTCAACACATCATTAGGTCGCAGTCTCATAGAATCGCATTGACCCAACGTGGGCAACACTGTCTTAGCCTTTCATTGTAACTGTCATTCTATACTTACCTGTAATTGTATGTTGGGTGTTTAAATAAGTTCATAAAAAGGCACATGGTAAAGTTTGTTGGATGGGATTATTGTAGCAAATCGCATAGAATATCACACTGAAGCCTGCAGTATTTCTCACAGAATAATATTGGGCATTGGACTATTGGAAATACAGCTTTACAATAATAATAATTTTGTCCTAACGTACTGTAACCTACTGTTTAATTAGTTAATGTGACGCTCATAAATTTTTTAACAATTTTGTAGTAGAATTTATCCTCATATAACCTAACATATATTCAGTGTAATTATAGAAATAAGAGTAAAATTAAACCATAATCCTACTCCATAATGATCAGGTTTAAAAGGTCATGCAATGCTCCAACCTAAATAGTATTTTTTTTTTCCTTGCTTTTAATGTGGTTCCTTGTCTGATCATTGATTGGTGATATATTCTTTCTGTTTTTTTGATGTGTTATACTGTGCCTTTATTTTCCTGTTGTTAAATGATTTTCTGTACTATGAGCATGAAATAAAAGCAAAGCAAAACCGTAAAATATATAAATAATTACTACATTGAAATATTTTTTACAACAATTAATTTCCATTTTTGATGTTCATTGTGTACAGTACAGTATGTACACAATTAATTATGTATTTAAATCCTGTTCAAATGATGTCCGATAGTTCAGATATTGTCCACTGAGTATCAACTAATGCTATTGGTATACTCCATGAATTACTGTACCAATATTTTAACCTTGCAAAAATTAACTTGGGCATGATAATATTGATATTTTTAGATCAGGAATTACAATTAATGAATAGATTGGTTACTGATAAATTTAATAGTAAGCTCATCTCGCACACAAATATAAGCAGCTTCACAAACAGCCATAAATAACAGTCTGTGAAGCTGTTTACTTCCTTATGTTGTGGAATTTGTTGAGGTACTGTGAAAAATAAATATTAAAAACATGTTTGATATTTTTTCCCGGCCGTTTTCAGTCAAGTTCTCACAGAGTGTATTGGACTTGTGAAAAATACAAATTAACAATAATTATGTGTAGCATTTTTATGTCATTATATGCCGCGGTACAACTGTCTCAAGTCAAAACTTTTACAGATTTATTAAATAGATTTGTAATTGTATGCATGCACATCTCTTAAACATACTCAAAAACAGTTATTCATGTTAAGCGAATGTAGGTCAAGGTTTATGAACTTCAGTGGTACTGTATTCTGTAATAACCAAGAAATGTTAATTTTGGTTAAATTGAAGTATAAGACACATGTCAAGTATGTCCTTGATTTTTAAGAGATATTCTTAAATCAAATATAAAAAGTGAAATTATTATGATGTTTTGCAGGCACTTTCTCATTAATTATGTAACGTATGTTTCCTGTTAATGCTAGTGTATTGTGTATAATTAAATATGGAAAAATTTCTGAGTTATACGGTACTACTTTAGATCATACAATTTTTCAAATTCAAGATTCAGTGATTCATCATTATAACTGAATTGTTTTCGTGGGCAGAAGTGAAGATCTCATGTTACAATAAACACTCTTAAAAAGTCAACTGTCAAAAACAATAAATTAAAGGGGGGGTGCGGGGATGAGACAAGTGGCCATATATTGCTTATTTAACCTTTCCTGAGTTCGGGAAAAATACTTAAAAAATTCAAAATGTTGAGATGTAAGGATAATTACAGAAACAAAACATGATATGATGAGACAGGAAAATCAGGTGAAAACGAGGCTGATCACTTTTTTCAGTAGCTTGGTAGCATTTCCTAACCAACTCATTAATATTCAAGACAAGTCTGTCAATTAATTTTTGGCGAGCAGCTGATCGAAAAATCGTCCCGACGATCGAGTGACTAGCCTAGATACAGTGTGAAGTCGTGAGTTTTTGTGATCGTTTACGTACGCAGTTACAGAGAGACGGTTTAGTCAACGTCAATTCAATCATGGAGGAATAATTCAATTGAATTAATAAACGTATATCAGTCCGATGACTTGACTTGTTTGTTTATAATTAGGCCTACACCTATGCCTAGGATCATGGTATAGCACAGTCAGTGTCTACCCAGCAGCAGTAGCGCACTCCTGTCCAGGACACTGCTCCAGTCCCGCAGCAGGTGAGTTCGCACGCAGCCTTATCCAGCTGACGGTAAAGATAGTAGGTTTCTACTACTAGCCTAGCCTAGACTTGTCATGCCATCTTTGTCACATTAATTGTGC